GGGCATATTACAATCTAGTTTTCGTTATGTTGCCGGTACGTTATTTCATCCCTAGTTTTTAACAGAAAAATAACGAATGCTCAAGTCGTTATTCTGATCTGAGCGCTCTTTTTTTTTCCTGTAATTTTCTCCCAACTTCAGACGTTGACTTCTTCGCTTGTGGGAGGATGCTGGCGGTATGTTAGGACATTTTGTGAATTGTATTGATGATGTTTGTAGACTTTGTACGTGTGTGTTGTGGATGGACGTTCATCGACTTTGCTCAATAGGCATACAAGACTTGTCAGGTTTTGTGCATGTCTGAGGTTTGGATGTGTGGATTGGTGTCATTAGGTTGTTGTGTCGTTTGCGTAGTGGGTGTGTAGAGTATTGTTGTTAGGTTGGTCGTGTGTGGTGTGTTGTCGTTAATTTGAAGTGTTGTCGGTACAACTGTGGTGACATTGTGGGCAGGCTGGTGTTGAGTCTGATGATTGAAGGTCACTGGAGAGATTCCAGTTTGCTGTAAAGGGCTTGCAGCTTGAAAAGGGGAGTGAACTTTGACTTTGAGGGCTTTGAAGTTTTGTTAGTGTAATTGGGAACCACGAGAGGTTAGGGCTTTATCTGAGGTAGTTTTACTAGTTGAAGTGGTTTTTACGTTCCAAAACTTCTGTGAAGTCTGTGCTGGTTATGCTAGTAGTTCTAGTTTATACGTTGCAACACTTCTGTGGAGTCTGCGCTGGTTGTATATTGGAGTTTACGGTCAAGAACTTTCATCTAAGACTGGTCAGCGTTGTCTGTTTGTAGGTTCGAGATGACCTTGATGGCCTCTGTACCCTGAGAGGTTTTCGGAATAATTGAGGACTCTTGGTCATTGTTGAGTCCATGCAAATGAGTCTGGACGAGAGAGAGAAAGGAAATTCGCGTCTGTTTTCTAGTTCACAAACCTATGTTGTTGTGTTGTTAGTGTTGTTGTTTTTATTTCTTTTCTGTTTCAAGGCATTCATTCAGGAAGGATTCTGATATTCCTTTTCTTCTTCAAACCTCCCTCCCTTTTTCTCCTTTCTCTTTTTTGTTATTGCAATGTTTGACAAAGAATACCTCTCCTATTTATAATCTATGTTCTTTTGTTCTCTCAGTTCTGGTGAGTTCTGTGATTCTGTGTATTTATTTCACTTGCATTATCATTGGCTGTGTGTAGATATATATATTATATTGTCGTTAGTGTGCCGTAGTTTCTCTGGCTGAATGCAGATTAGATTAGTAGTTGGGTTTTTTGGGGGTTTTTTTTCTCGTAATTGATAAGAATTGATGCCAAGAAAGTATTTGTAAAACTTACAAGCTTTGTGTGACAGTTTGGACAAAAGTGACGGTATACTGGGGTGAGTTGAGGTCTGTGCGACAGTTTGGACAAAAGTGACAGTACACTGGGGTGAGTTGAGGTCTGTGTGCTTGAAATACTTTCTTTTCTCAGCATTATTTTCTCCTGGCTGTGTCGTCTGTGTGTGTGTATGTGGGGGGGGGGAAGGGGGGGGGGGGCTAGTGGGTGAATGTGTGTGTATGGGGGGGGGGGACTTGTGGGTCAGTGTTTTGCATGCGAGGTTGACTGCTGTGGGTTAATGTTTTGTGGACCAGGTGACTGTTTCATGAGTGTGTTTGGCGAATGTGTTTTGAGTGAGTGTGTTGGGTTGATTGTGCTGTGAGTGCATGTGTCATGTGTCGGGTCAACTGTGCTGGATATGAAATGGCCATAGGGCTTATGTGCAATGCCTTCAGGTTGTCTGGGGGCGCTAGGCCTGATATTATACCTACGGTACTCGCGTGCTGGACTAGTTTCTGTGGTCTGTGACAATGCTATAGGTGTGTGTGGGTGTGTGTGTGTGTGGACCAAGTTGTGCTTCTTACTCAATCGGTTGTTCCTTTTTTGGTGGGACTAGTTTCTGTGGTCTGTGACAACGCTATAGGTGTGTGTGGGTGTGTGTGTGTGTTGGTGTGTGTGTGTGTGTGTGTGTTGGTGTGTGTACGTGTGTGTGTGTGAGTGTGGGTGCTTGTGTGTGTGTGTGAGTGTGGGTGTGTGTGTGTGAGTGTGGGTGTGTGTGTGTGTGATGACAACTTTTATACATACTCAAGTGTTTACCAAGTTCTGCTTCTGACCTAGTTTGTTCTTTTGACGGAATATAATTATCACTATTGTTGTTGTTATTATTATTATTATTATTATTATTATTATATTCAGTGCTGTGCATGTAGGTTTGTTTTTTATAAGTTGTTTGAGAAGGTTCCCTATTTTTGCTCAGAATGTTGGTAATGTGGATGGTCGGAGACAGGGACTCACGCCGTCTCTGTATGGTTTAAAAAGAAATAACCCAGCCCCTGTGACTCTTTCGTCACTCTCAGGTTATGCAATAGACCAGCACACCGACATGGTGTGTATGACTGATGTACGGTACATCTCGATGGTTCAGTTATTTGTCAGATTTGCATCCTACACTCGAGGATACCTTTAAAATGGCTTTAAATTTAAAAGTTTACAGTGTTTTGGTTCATTTAAGCTTGGAAACTCATGACATGTGCGTGACACATCTTTTTGTGCAAGACAGAGACACCGTGACACATCTTTTTGTGCAAGACAGAGACACCGTGACACATCTTTTTGTGCAAGACAGAGACACCGTGACACATCTTTTTGTGCAAGACAGAGACACCGTGACACATGGAGAGCTCTGGCGGGCTATTCCACGCTAACCGATGGGATAGACAAAGAAACGTTATTTGTCTCGTCGGTTACCGAATCTAAAGACGTCGCAGAATTTGCATTAAAAGTACTTTTTAAAAAATCAAATAACTGCATTTAATATGACTTTAATATGTCTTTCAAATGTTCTGATCATTTAAAGTTAAAATAGATTAATTGATATTGAATTACAGTGTTATCGTTGTCAGAAAGTATAGTCCAGATGTCCCATCAGTTACCGTGGAATGGCCCAGATGTAACTCACAGTAGCGTTGCTTGTAGAATTAATCATCATGGTCAGAACGGACAGTGACGAGTGTTGCCCAAGAGGCACACACAACTTTCCCTGTCACTGACGGCCACTTGACTGGCCACTAACTGAGGATTATTCGCAGACGTATCATCAGCAGGTGCAGGATTATTGGGGAGTTGGTTTTGGCGTGTGTCTTCTGTGTGCTTGTTGGATTGTCCATGGCAGACTGATTGCAACTTTAGCTGTACAGTGGAGTCCACTTAATTAAACCAAACACGGTTAATCCGAAAACAGCGGAAAATCGAAAGATGATAAAATCCTCCATCATGATTTTTTTTCTTGTACTTAATAAAGCAATCTCCAAATGGAAAACCCGACTAACCAAAGAAAATCTGGCTTTTGGTTTAAGCAGACGTCACTGTATGTAGATTGTAAGCAATACTAGAGTATGTGGATTACTTGCGATGTGTTACATTATATGTGGATTGTTTGCAATACGTATACATGTGGGTGGCTTGCAACATGTATGTGTGTGGATTGTGAGCAATGCTGCTGTATGGGGATAATTTTCGCCAGTTACATGTGAGGATTGCAGGCAATACGGGTGTTTTTGTGGGTGTTTGTGACTGGCTTGGGACATTACAACGTATGTGGGTGGCTTGCATTACGGTTGTATCAGTAATGGAGGTTTTTTGTATGTGGCCAGTGGGGGTTGAGTGCTCCTGTACGTGTTTTGTCTAGTGTGGTGGGGACCTCGTTATATCGTCGAGGGCCTCGCTCGATCATCACTCACCTCGTTCTCAACATAGTTTAAAAAAATATAATTTATATATATTATATAGAATAATAACAATATCATCTGCAAACTGCGTTCAAATCAAATGTACTACGCCCAGAAATTATAGTTTTCAG